TCCTTTGTGCAAAGACTTTACCTATTCACTTTATGTATTATAAATTGCTAGCTGAGACAATGCATGATGTAAATAATGATGTTATTCCTTCACAATTGAAGGATTTGTTCATCCCTACTGCAAAAATTCATTCATATAATACGCGATCTTCAGCCTCCAACAACTTTTACATTAAAAAATCAAAACTTGAAATTGAACGAAAATCGTTTTCAAGAATCGGTGCAAAACTGTGGAATGAGATACCAACTAAGCTCCGAACACTACCAAAATTCATCTTTAAAAGAAAAATTCGTACGATCTTGTTCAATATATTAGAATTAGAAGACTCCTACGAAGATTTAGAATCGATAATCTCTAAAGTTAGTAAATACTCTTAGTAGCTATCACCTTTGTCTCGCCCATCCTACCCTATCCATTTTATCTTATGTATTCACTCACAACATAATGCGCTGTCAACTTGAATTAACCACATAGTTGTTTCCGTAGACTTAATTTCTTTTCGTATTTACCATTTATTCATTTATCTGTAGTTTTTACTGTGTGTATTTTCCTCTTCTTTTACTGATTATCCTGGCCCGCCTCGATTAGCACTGCTATCTGCGGAGCCAGGGGAATAAGGATTTATTGTTATTGTTATTGTTACATAAACGTGTGTATAAACGTGTGCACTGGGCTCAGGGGGAAAACTAACTAATCCATTCTTAAAATCGACTTTGAAACAAAATTGCTGGAGGAAATCTCTACCAAGAATAACGTCATAAGACAGATCTTCTATGTTGTGAGATGAAGTGGAAGTTGTTGTTTTGAGACTTTTCTAGTTAAGCCTTTTGTTTTTTTAAGCCTTGCCTTTTACGCCTACGTGTTATCTCGGTAGATTTATATTTTTTTGGCTCAGCTCGTGGATTTTCTTGTTACCGTGTTAGACATTTAGAAAATTAGACAGTTTCACAGGTGGTCGTGTTTGTAAAGCTGACCTTGAGTTCTACCCACACTGAAGTTCCTGTTTGTGTGCGCAATTCCTGTGCGTAGCTGTTAGCGTCCAATTAAACACTGAAGTTCCTGTTTGCGTGAGCGATTCCTGTGCGCAGCTGTCAACGTTCAATTGGTTCCTTGGCCCTCGACAAGTACTTCGGTGAGGGCCAACCAGTTTCTCCCTTTTTGCAAAATAAACGGATACACTCGTAAGGAAACTCTCACGGTCAGCTAACCCAAACATGTCTGCGATTTTTGTATTTAATACGTGGGCACTCCTCGCTAAGTAGTAGAAGAAGAAAAGATCTGAAGGGTTGTAGTAGGAGAGAATAAAAAAGAGAACAGTCCAGAGTATCAGTACTTCTCGTTAAAAGCTAAGCGTGGTAAAATTCACAATAAAAGTAAACGAGATCCTTGATTTCTCTATCGTAAGCAAGAGGCA